CACTAATATCCAGAGGTGACCCTGGCAATAAATGATGAAGTGGAGGAAAACCGAGTTCACCATTTTGAAGTCAAATGAAAATTGCATAATCATTCATGCATCATATTAAGACATTTGCAAAAATATATGCATTTTCATTCATTTTATCCATGTTGAATTCTGACAGGAATTTCAAAGATTTTAGCAAAGATTTAAATCCATAATTCAATGGATCAACAATGTCAGTTAGAGTTCATAATGAGAAGAACTCATCTGAAGAAAGAAGAAGAAGTTCATAATAAGAAGAACTTGTTCAACTTTTTACTTGAATTCATCATTCGATGGATCAGCTTTGCCAGAGAAAGTTCATAATGAGAAGAACTCATCTGAAGAAGGAAGAAGAAATTCATAATGAGAAGAATTTGTTCAACCTTTTGCTCAAATCCATCACTTGATGGATCAGCTTTTCCAGAAAAAGTTCATAATGAGAAGAACTCATCTGAAGAAGGAAGAAGAAATTCATAATGAGAAGAATTTGTTCAACCTTTTGCTCAAATCCATCACTTGATGGATCAGCTTTTCCAGAAAAAGTTCATAATGAGAAGAACTCATCTGAAGAAGGAAGAAGAAATTCATAATGAGAAGAATTTGTTCAACCTTTTGCTCAAATCTATCACTTGATGGATCAGCTTTTCCAGAAAAAGTTCATAATGAGAAGAACTCATCTGAAGAAGGAAGAAGAAATTCATAATGAGAAGAATTTTTTCAACCTTTTGCTCAAATCCATCACTTGATGGATCAGCTTTTCCAGAAAAAGTTCATAATGAAAAGAACTCATCTGAAGAAGGAAGAAGAAATTCATAATGAGAAGAATTTGTTCAACCTTTTGCTCAAATCCATCATTTGATGGATCAGCTTTTCCAGAAAAAGTTCATAATGAGAAGAACTCATCTGAAGAAAGAAGAAGAAGTTCAGAATGAGAAGAACTTGTTCAACTTTTTGCTTAAATTCATCATTTGATGGATCAGCTTTTCCAGAAAAAGTTCATAATGAGAAGAACTCATCTGAAGAAAGAAGAAGAAGTTCAGAATGAGAAGAATTTGTTTAACCTTTTGCTTGAATTCATCACTCGATGGATCAACTTTTCCAGAGATTTCATAATGAGAAGAACTCATCTGAAGAGGAAGAAGAAGTTCATAATGAGAAGAACTTGTTCAACCTTTTGCATGACTCTATTACGGAAAGAGATAGATCAACATCAACTTTTCCAGAGAAAGTTCATAATGAAAAGAACTTATCTGAAGAGGAAAAAGAAGTTCATCCGAGAAGAACTTGTTCAGCCTTTGCATGATTACATCATATAAGGAGATAAATTATCATCACAGTGGAAAAGTTCATAATGAGAAGAACTTATAGCTAAGAACTTTAAACATTTCAAGCTAAAAATGGTGCTTTATGTCTTTGCTCCATTCCTGTTCCACAGCAACGAGCAAAGAGGGGCAGCTGTAATCACCATTTTTACCTCTCCATTCCAACAGCCCCTCCACGTTGCACATTCCAGCACCTTCCAGCAGCAGCCACGAAGCTACCCTCTTCGAAGACTCCAGAAACACCACGCCGGTCGTCCACGTCGTAGCTATGGGGTGAGTCACCACATAGTTTGGTGACTCACCAGATAAAACCCTTTGGACTGGTCCGATGAGAGACTCGTCGAGGCTTATAAAAGCCATGGAGAACCTGCAAAAGAAAAAGGGGAGGAGACAGAGAGGGCACCAAAAAAAAAAAAGAAACGAAGAACCCGAGAGAAAGGGGACACCAACAGAGGGGAAAAAGAGGAGACCAACAACCAGCAAACCAAGAAACAAAAATTAAACGAGAGAACGGGAAGAGACTTACCAACATCGTCGAAGCCTCCACTCGCCACCATACGCCTCTAAAGCACTCGAAAACCATAGGTATAAACTGTAGATTTGCTCCGATTATGAACTTTTTAAAGAAAACAGAGACTGTATTCGGCCTTAGGAGGTCGAGATTTGTAATCTAGGATAATTTGGGAATTTCCGGCCACCGGTTGTGGTGGCCGGCGGTGGAGCTCGTGGCGGCGTATGGCTGCCGGCAGCTCCCAGAATTCCCTCAGACGAGGGAAATATAGAGAGAGATGAGAGAATTCTCTCATAAGAGAGAGAATTAGAAAGAAAGAAAAAGAGAGAAATGGCCTTTGAAGGCCGGTTTTAGGGTATTTGTACCCTCATCGAAACGACACCGCTTTGATGAGGGGCCTGGGCGTAATTTCACTAATGGCTAAACCACACGCGCAGTCATCCTAGTTTGTAATCTTTTCAATTTAGTCACCAGAATCATTCTTCTGAACATTTTAATTTGGGCTTCTAATTTTATTCTATTATATTTTAGTCATTACCAAATTATATTTATATTTAAGGTAAAATAACCTTTTTAGCCCATATTAATTTTAAATTTTATTTTTATCCATTATAATTAAATAGGTTAAATTATACTATTATACATAGTAGTTTATTAATTCGAATTATGCCCTTTAATTTTGATATTTTATTTTATTTAGTCACCAATTTTTTGTTTCTTTTCATTTTGATCCTGATTGTTTTTATATATTTTGCAATTTAATATTATTACTTTTAAATTTATTTTAAATATTATTTATTTATAATATTAATTTGTTATTACTTTTATATTATTATTATTTTCATATTAATCACATAAATAAATATATAAATAAATATATATATATATATATATATATTTATTTATATATATATATATATATATATTTTAAATAATAATGTTTATTTATTTTCAATATCAAAGAAAAAGGCAGTCTTAATATAACTGGATGTCCTATTCTGGTATTTTAAAATTAAATATTATAAAAATTTTTAATTATTATAATATATATCGAAGAAAAGAGCTGTCTTAAGGTACATAGAAGTCCTTTTTTGATATATTTTTAAATAAATAAATATTTTATTTATAAATATATAAATTAATATTTTTTTATAATTATAATTTCGAAATAATAAGATTATAAATTAAATATATTTTGAATTTTTAAATTTCTAATAATAGAGACAATTTATAATTAAAAAGTACCAATTTTGGGCGTTGTAGGGGTGCTAATCCTTCCGTAAACGTAACCGACCACGAATCCCTTTTTATTATTAAAAAGAAAGAATTTTTTGTTATAAACGCAGATCAGTTCATCTTTTAACTGATGTTTTCTTAAAAACTCTGTTAAAAGATAATTTTTAGGTATTCGACCTACCTGACCCAAAAGGCCGATGACGACTTCCAAATTATTTTCAAAACCATTTATTCACATCAATTTTCCCGTTAAGTAAAAAAATTCATGCCCGGACGAAAACCGATTACGACAGCGATTTAAAAACTAACATGATTGATCCGTCCCGTTAAGTAAAAAAATTCATGCCCGGACGAAAACCGATTACGACAACGATTTAAAAACTAACATGATTGATCCGTTACGTTATCGATGATTTCGATTTTAATTTATTGTCTTTAACTTTCGTTAAAACATTAACGGAAGTTTTAGTTGATAACTAAAAAAAATATGGGGAAAAAACCCACTTGTAAAGCTGACGAGTCTTCTTCCTCTTTTTCTTTAAATCCAAAACAGAAAAAGTTATTTCCATCTTATTCTCGCACTCTTAATAACCTCGCATGCAACCCACCGTTAAACTCAATTTAAATCGATAGCGCGTAAATATTATAAAAATATCAGCATAAAATTGCAACATTTTTTATTCTGCTCATCAACGACATCTTAATTTTATTATTGATTTTTCTCCTTATTAGCCTTTTTACGAATAGCTTTTATTGAATTTTATTCATTGTTCTATTAACACATATCAAGAATCAAGTCATGTTCTGTTTAATATTCTTGCTATACCATAGGTGCTTCTTTTACCCCCCCCCCCCCTTAATTTTCAATCATCTGTACATGAATGTCATCCTGCCCCATATCCAGTTCACGAGAATCAGTCCAATGTCATGAAGCCATTGGAGGATGGCAAGGAGATAGATGTTATTCCGAATAAGAAGGATGTTTTCTGGCCATCTTTACTTGATATGGAAACTGCTAAGTACCGCTGGTGTGATGAAGAACGAGAGGCCCATTTATCTGTTCGCAAAGATCAATGGAGGGATGGAGATAATGATCTGACACCAGTAAGATAAACCGTTGGGCAGAGAACTTGCCTTCAAGGCAATTTGGAGAAGCATGCAGCGCACCCTCTAAGCGGTGAACTGCTTCAGATAACAAGGTTTCAAAGTTATGATCAACAGTGTGAAAGCAAATGGAACACACAGTGGGGGCTCGGCGATAAGAAGGCTGAAAGCTTAGGTGACAAGTGGGCAGACTCCGAAAGAGATGCTGATATGCTTCTTGAGAAAGGGTTGTCTCATCTTATGGTGATATTTTTATAATATATACATGCTTTTAGAAGAAGAAGCTACAATTTTATGATAATATTTTTATGATATCTACGAGTTTGAGAAAATTCGATTTATGAATGAGTATAACGGTGGGTTGCACGCGAGGTTATTAAGAGAGAATGAGATGGAAATTGTTTTATTTGTTTTGGATTTAAAGAAGGAGAAGAAGAAGATACATACGATTTTTAGGAATTTTAGATTTTTTTATTCTCATTGTCACTTACACTTCATGAGTCGTGACTTGTGGATTTGTTTATAATTTTTAAATTACCACTTAATGATTTCATTAATATATTAATAAAAATTAACGATTAAAAGATTTAAATCGAATAGATCAATAATATAAAGGATCAAATACATTTAATTTTCAAAACGATGATCAAAATTCGTAGGACAAAAAAATGAAAGGTACTATCCATATAGTTTACCCATATAATGATTAAATCTACAAATTGATACGGACAAAATTCAACCAATAGGGTTCTGTGTTCCTAACAAGGGGGAGAAAACCAGTAAAGGGTTTTGTATGATTTCATTTCATCGTTGAAAAAGTAAGGTTTAGCAAGTGATTTACAAGAACGGAAATACATTAGAGGAACTACGTCGTTCCGATGCTCGTGCCATCGTGCGTGGGAAAATCAAAAGCTTAAACATTGCAAATGAGAGATGGAAGACGAGCTAATCGTTCCTTGCTCTTCCCTTGCTGTTGATTCCTTCATCAGATTCACAACGGTAAACACGTCTTAGTTCTATGTACTGATGTAATTTGTTTTCGTTTCTTTTCTTGCCAAAGCCAAAGAACAAAGAGAGAGAGAGAGAGAGAGAGAGAGAGAGAGAGAGAGAGAGAGAGAGGAATTGAAATATATTTTCAGGCAGGTGGACTCTGGGGATTTTGTTCAGCCCCATATGATGCTCGTAAAAGAGGTATTGATCTTAAATTTACGATCAATTATTGAAGTCTCAGCTCTCAGCGTTATTATTGTTTTAAATTTTGTTGATTTGGTGTGCAGGTTTAACTGGTATTGCTCAAGCTTCGTTTGTGGTAAAGAAAACTTGCAAATTTTGGTTGATTATTTCATAATATTAAGGCTTTCTTTTGTCTTTAATTTCGATTTGATCGGCTTATTCAAAAAGAGATTTAGGTTTTTTTTCCCTCAATGTTGATTTCTTTCATCTCTTAAACTCAATTGCAGGCAAAATCTGTCGGAAAATTCGGATTCCAATGCGGTAATTGAACATCTCTCTCGGTTTTGGGCTAACTTTGGATAGTATTTTGGTGTTATATTATCTAAATTCGGATTTCATATTTATATTCAGGACTTGTTGCCGGTGTATTCTCCACCACTCGCTGTGGCCTTCAGAGATACCGGAAGCAGAACGACCATAATATTAGTTAGTTAAAGGCAGTTCCCGAGCACATTTTTCGTTTGGTTTGCCTCCAGTAAAGGGGTAAACAGTACTCGTTATTTGGTGAAAACATGAACATTTTGTTTTGCAAAACAATGAACACTTAATTGCGTTTGTCTTCAGAATTAAGGTTCCTGAAAATGTACTATGCTTATAGAAGATATCAAGATTCAGGTTCATAAGAGTGTTTTTGCCATTATTGCATATAAAAGGGAACCAAAATTCTGTTGTCATGGAAAAATTGCTCAAGGATGAGGTTACAATGATCATCAAGCTTGTTTTCTTCATTTCAGATAAACACTTTAATTGCGGGTGCTGTTGCTGCGAGGACCAGGAGCTGGAAAAATGTGATTGCGGTGGCATGCCTTGTTTCAGCCTTCAGTGTTGCTGCTGAAGTTTCCAGAACAAATTGAAAATCTAGTCGCTTAATCTATGTCGATCAGTGGTAATCAGAGAGTAACCAAAGGAGTTCGGCATTTGTAAGAGTAAACCTCATATGTAATATAGATTTGAATTGGGAAATAAATGCACAAGGTAGTCACTATTGCTGCAAACACAAGCTATTGCATTTATAAAAATAGGGTTAAATGTTATTGATTAGATTTGCAAAGTTCACAAGGATGGCAAACGCATGTCAAAAAGTGAAACCTCCAAAATTATATGTATATATGCATGGCATCGCCACACTAAGATGATGATTCATTGTTGTTGGTATTGCTTCCCTCCTTGTGATTGCCGAAGATACGTTCCCGGAAATTCGAAACCATTAGAGGGAGACCCTTTTGGAGAGAGACCTTGGGTTCCCAGCCAAGTAGCTCTTTGGCTCTTGAGATATCGGGTTTCCTCTTGTGTGGATCATCTTCGGTGTTGGGTCTAAACTCTATCTTTGCATTTGGATCTATAGTTTCTTGAACAACCTGTAGATAGGTAACGATCTTGAATTTCAATTTTAAAGTTTAAAATCGAAAGATATTTCGCATTTAAGAACATTTCAACCAACAGCTTTCAAATTGCTGCAAATAATACGTACCTCGGCAAGCTCGAGCATGGTGAATTCACCCGGATTTCCGATATTAAAAGGTCCAACATGTTCTCCTTCCATCAACCGCATGAGCCCCTCTACCTGTTCAAAGACATTGTTTTTACAAACACCATTGGTCCCATGAATTAATTGTTAAAGTCTACCCCAAATAATAAAAGAGACCCAAAAGCCTACCCCAGAGAAGAAAGATATGGAAGTTCAATCATATATTAAATAACGCAATCACTATGTGCAAAGTACACTCCATTGACGGCGAAATAACACTGATGTATGCTTCAGACCAAACTATGAGGCAATTGAAATTTGATGGTCCCCTTTGGAGCATTCATTTGGTACAAGTCACATGGTGTATGTTTCACCAGAGAGAACAAAGTTCCACAAGACATTTAACATTCCCTATGTTGAAATTACCACAAGATGACATACCAGATCAGAAACATATTGGAAACTCCTTGTCTGCTTCCCATCGCCGTACACAGTCAAAGGCTCCTTCCTTAAAGCCTGCATTCATTCAGTCAATTATCGACATTAGCACCAATGCTGGCACACTACTGAACTAGTTACTGAAAATAAATGAGAACCTGAGCAACAAAGTTGCTAACAACACGACCGTCATCGATGCACATACGAGGCCCATAAGTATTGAAAATTCTGGCAATCCTAACCTGAAAGAGCAAATAGTCGTTACATTTTAGATCCTCGTTTTAAAAGTTTGGTGTTTTGAAATGAAAATAGTTAGTTCATGTAACCTCAACTCCAGCTCCTCTGTGATAGTCCATTGTCAGTGTTTCAGCAGTTCGTTTTCCCTCATCATAACAACTTCGGACACCTGCAGGCACACATTCAAAATCATCCTCGTATGTTGAGGACTTTGGCAAAGTGTAAAACCCTAATGTGACATTATCGTAGAGAACATCCAAATCCCTAAAAGAGATTGTAGAACCCCGTTTTCCTGGTTTCATTTTTAAAATACTATTCATCTAAACAAGCCCCCTACTGTCATTTCCATTTCTCACAGTTACAAAAACCCAAACCAAAAATTAAAATTTCTGCACAATAACCTGTCTTGTTCTGAACATGTAATAAACATGTGCTACGTGTTAGACTGTCAGTATGTGTCAAGTAAAATTTCTGCTTACCGTACGATTTCGAGTGACCGCTAATCACGGATTACTTCTGAAAAAGTTCAAAAAAAAATCGACCAGATCCAAAAAAATTCTAGACTGCCATTTCTGCAAATATTGTCTGCCAACTTCCACAACACGACAACTTCCGAAATTTTCCGGTGACCGGAAAAAAATAAAAGAACGAAAGTAGATAAAGGGTGGTTTACCAATTGGATTAACGTTGCCCCAATAAGTTTCCTTTTGAGGATGCTGAAGAGGGTCGCCGTAGACTTCACTGGTACTGGTTAACAAGAACCTCGCACCTACTCTTTTCGCCAGTCCTAACATGTTCAATGTCCCCACCACATTTGTCTTGTAAGAGAAACACATTCATTAAGGAAACAATAACAGACAGACAAAAACAGAGAAATCAAAAGCTATGGTGATTCGAAAAGGATATGATAGTTTTGACTGGGTTGAATTTGTAATGAACTGGAGACGCGGGGCAAGCGAGATGGTAGATCTGGTCAACTTCCAGCAGCAGAGGCTCCACGACGTCGTGTCGGATGAGCTCGAAGTTCGGGTTACCAAAATGGTGCATGACGTTTTCTTTTCTTCCGGTGAAGAAGTTATCGACGACGATCACACTGTCTCTTCTTTCTATCAACCGGTCGACGAGGTGAGAGCCGACGAACCCGGCTCCACCCGTCACGACAATTCTCAAACCTTTCCGTTTTAGCCCCAACGGAATCTTACCCGCCGGGTTGGAAGACCGGAAACCGAGTCGGTGCGAGTGGGAGAACTTGCTCTGGGTTTCGACGGGGAAGTAGGAGATGGAATCAGGGATCGGGTCGACAAAGTGGTGGTGAGGAACGTGGGGAGCACGTGAGGTTGGGAAGACAGTGAAAACCAGAGTGGCAATAGCAATGCCGACGAGGACGAAGACAAGGCGTTGCTCCCGTAGCATGTAACGAATTGGATGGATGACGGAAACCCATGGTTTAATGGGTTTTGGCGAATACGAGTCCGAAACAGGCTGAGACTCGTGGCCCCTGTATATCAGCTCCGATCCCATCGCTCTTCCAACTTCCAGAACTCGAAACTCAGATTTTGAGTTCAAAAGATAACAAATTCAAAAGAATTTGTGAAGACCGAGTCGCCAGCGAGTTGAGGCGGGCCGGAGGAATATGTATGAAGGAAAGAGGAGATTCTTAAATATAAATAAGTGTTGAGAGAGAGGAGGAGGTATTTCAGAAATATCCGGGGCGGTGGCTTTTGGGGTGATTAGACAGAGGTCTTGTAATTTGAAAAGTAAACGATTGGGTTTAATTTAATTAACTTTAATTACATTTCCAGTATTTTCATGTAATAAACTTCAATTAAATTTCTATTCTTTTCATGTTTTAATTGGGCTTTACTTTTTTAGGCTTATTTACTTATAAAGCTGCTTTACCAAATGAAGTGGGATTTTAAGTTTACCTTTTTTTTAATGGTAAAAAGGTAACTTTTGGTAACTTTTGCATCAATTCAAATTATTTAGTATATTTGATTTATTATTTTTATTATATTTTTTATATTAATTTAACATTTGAAGTCGTTCGATTGTATCATTTTATATCCTATTTTTTTATTTAAAATTTTAAATTGAGGGTTTTAAGTCAAGTGTTAAAATTTAGGGTTTAGATATTATGAGATTATGATTTAGGGCTTAGAGTTATCAATTTAGGTGTTTAAGTTAGGGGTACAGTATAGAATGATGTAATTAAGTAACTTTGAGGGTTAAATTTATGCAAACATATGATAAAGAAAAAAATGATAAATTTGGTCTTCTACATAGGTAATTTAAACCCTTTTTATTATTATTACCCTAATGTGAGTATAAAGTCTTCAACATTTATAATAATAATTATTATTAGATGATTATTTGTCATCAACATTTATAATTTTTATTTTTATTTTTGTCTTTTTATCATATTAAATTTAATCTTTAAAATAAAATAACATTTAACTATTAATCTTTTAAAATAATAGAATCATTAAATCTTAAACACTAAAATTTTAACATTTTAACATCGTTGACATAATATCTCATCTAACAATTCATATAATTTTTAAGTTCATACTAACTAAACCAAGCAAAGTAAAGTAACATTGTTAGTAACGCGTTAGATAATATTTTATTATGAGAATATATTATCAAAGTATTATTGTATTAGGTGACTCAAATATTTTTCATGAATCATGAGTTTATATTATAATTGATGTCAAGTCATACAGTTAAATAAGTCAGATAAGATAATATAAAAATCTTATTTTTTATACATAATATTATATTTCACGAATCAAATATTTCCCATGAATCTCAACTATATCTGGTGTTAAATTAGGTTAAGTCCTTGAACGAGGAGTAAAACTTCATCTCTATTTATAAGATTCAATTTTAAAATCACATTTAAAGAATATCGAGTTTCTTATTACTTTATTCATATTATTATTTTTGGATTGTTATTTAATTTGGTGGTTGTTTTTTAAGGTAAACTCACTTCATGTGAACCAGCTTTGATGAATTTGGACATTTTGGATGTCTTCCTTGTAACTTCTAATGTTGGGCTAATGTTAGAAACGCTAATATAGGATCTCAGTTTCTTTTAGTTCCTTAAACGACAAGGGATCCGCACGTTTTGTTAGTTCAGAAAAGGGCACATGCATTTCGCCCTAATGAAAAGGATGTCACTTTGAAAGAAAGCTTTCATTGTTATGGCAATGGATGTTTCGTATAGGTCAATTGTACCATTAATTATCTCAAAACTTAAGTAGGATTTCTTCTATCATTATTATGTTTATTTTTCATTACAGAAATTGAAAGAGTGATTAATGGGGTCTTTATATTAACATAAAAAGTAACATATACTAAAATGTAATAATAATAATAATAATAGACTTGTATTGAAAATGGGAAATTGGGTTTTTGCTTTCACAAGCAAATTGTTTGTCGCTATAATCTCCGTGATTAAGGTATCTAAACAACCTCTTAATCATATGGGATTGACAAGTTTAATCAAATAGTCATTATTCATTTTAAAAGAATTAAAATAATTCTATAATATTATATAATGGATTGAAATAAATAAGTGGTCAAAAAAATGACAAATGATCTCTTATTATGATATTTGAATTAAATTATAAAAATATTATAATTTTAAATGGGACATGATTATACCCAGATCATATAGTATCGTATATTATAATAAAGAAAAAGTAACCTCAGTGATCAAAAATGCCTTATGATATACGATTTTAACCAACTTTTTTTAGATTTACCAAAATGACCAACTAAATCGCAATGCGATCGATAATTCGCAACGCGATCTTCGGTATCGCAAATAAGTTTCCAAATTCGCAACGCGAACTTCGACTATCGCATTGCGATTTACATATTCACATTGCGATAGACGAAGTTCGCGTTACGAATCTGGAAACTGATTTGCGATAGTCAAAGTTCGCGTTGCGATTTATTCCAAATTCGTTGCGATAGTCGAAGTTCGCGTTGCGATTTATTCCAAGTTCGTTGCGATAGTCCAAAATTGCAACGACTGGTGATATTGCATTTGTTTCTTAAGAATTTTCTCTAAAAAGATAGTATTCGCGCGACGTGTCGAAGACACGTATTACCACGACCACGACCAGACCAGACCCGAGACGGACGGCGGCGGCGGCGCGCGAGAGTCCCTCTTGTTTTCTATCACTCAACAAGGAAGTGAGAAAGCCAAGCCTTAAATACCATTCCCAATAGTGTTTCCAATACTATGTGGGATTGAGCATTACCGACACTTGTTTCCAATACTATGTGATTATTCATGAAACAATTAACAATCATGCACCTTAAAACAACTAAATCAGCAACCAATTGCATTAGTATTATACGATTAAATATGTCATAATTAAAAGTCAATCTACAATCAATCGCGATTATTGCAATTTTAAGCAAAACATTCAAAAAAAATTGCATCACTCGCGAGAATAAAAAAATTTGTTATCGTGCAATTACAATCAATTGAAAATAAATTAGAATTGCATGAAAATTAAACGAACCACAAATACTTTTCATACAAATACTAAAGTCATTAACTATAATTCACAAATAATATCACTATTTAAGGCTCAATCTCACATAGTATTAGGAACAAGTGTTGGTAATGCTCAATCCCACATAGTATTGGAAACACTATTGGGAATGATATTTAAGGCTTGGCTTTCCCACTTTCTTGTTGAGTGATAGAGAACAAGGGGGACTCACGCGCCGCCGCCACTGCCGTCCGTCTCGTCTCGTCTCGTTTCGTCTCGGGTCGTGGTCGTGGTCGTGGTAATACGTGTCTTCGACACGTCCGCACGAATACTATCTTTTTAGAGAAAATTCTTAAGAAACAAATGCAATACCACCAGTCGTTGCGATTTTGGACTATCGCAACGAACTTGGAATAAATCGCAACGCGAACTTCGATTATCGCAATGAACTTGGAATAAATCGCAACGCGAACTTTGACTATCGCAACGAACTTGGAATAAATCGCAACGCGAACTTCTACTATCGCAATGAACTTGGAATAAATCACAACGCGAACTTCGACTATCTCAACGAACTTGGACTATCGCAACTCGAATTTGGAATAAATCGCAACGCGAACTTGGACTATCGCAACGAATTTGGAAAATCGCATTGCGATAGTTGAAGTTCGCGTTGCGATAGTCGATGTTCGCGTTGCGAATATGGAAACTGATTTGCGATACCAGAGATCGCGTTGTGAATTATCGATCGCATTGCGATTTAGTTGGTCATTTTGGCAAATCCAAAAAAATTTGATTAAAATCATATATTATAAGGTATTTTTGGTCACTGAGGTTATTTTCTCTATAATAAATGAGGATACATGTGATTTATCTTAACTGAATTTTATTTTTAAATTACCGAAATAAATATAGGCTCTAAAAGGGAGCAATTGCACGTGGTTGGAGCCGAGGCATTCACATCTTAAGCAATAAGCAACGTTTGAGTACCCCCAATGAATAAGGATTTCCCCACGTTTTATCCACTAAGGTCAGTTAGGCATTCACCATTAGCCACCCTTTGATCGCCTCAAAATCAATTATTATAATATGCTCAAAGCCCCTGTGATTTGCTGTCAATGTAACCACCTTATCATTGGGTTGCTTAGTATTAATAATAATAACCATGCATTATTATTTATTAGGTAACATAAGCATATTCTTTTAACGATTTAAAATGATTATAAGATAATATGTTGGTTTTTTTGGCAAAGTCCCACATTGGTTGTGTATAAGGAGGAGGAGAAATTCTTTTGTTATAAATAGAGCCCTCATCCTCCTTAGTTAAGCATCCCACAAATATAAGCATTCTTCACTATTAAAAGCTATTTGTACTCTTTCTCTCTTTGTAATATTTAGATAAATATTATTTTAGTAGTGTTCGAGGACATAGGCATAATTTTGGTCAAACCTCGTTAAATTTTGGTGTTCTTTTTTATGTCTAATTAATAGCTATTGTCGGGTATAGTTGTTGTTAATTATTGTCCTATTAAAATTACTTGTCTTGGTAGTTCTGTCTAAGGAAAGTGGGTTTTAAGAGGACCATTGTGACCCCTCCTCTTTCATGGGAATCTACCTTAGGGTGATTTTTAATACAATCGTTTTCACACTAGTCACTTAGATAATAGTTTTCAAGGTGAATTTGTTATTATTGGTGGAAATTAACCTGAATTCCACAACAATTGATATCAGAGCTCTTGGTTCATTTTAGTATGATCTGTGGTTGCGGCTTAGGCTGATCTTCCATATCAGAAAAAAATTTCCTTGGGGTAATTGACATTCCGCATTGACAGCTATTAAATAGAATTTATAGCAGAAATGGCAGACGATACAAAAACATCCGCAAGAAATGCTGTGACAAATGTTAGATTTGCAGTGGAGATTTTTGATGGCACCGGTCATTTTGGCATGTGGCAAAGTGAGGTTCTAGATGCCCTATTTCAGTAGGGTCTAGACATTGCTATTGAAGGAGAAAAACCAAATGATGTTGAGGAGAAAGAATGGAAGAGGATCAATAGATTAGCATGTGGTACTATTCGATCGTGTCTTTCTAGAGAGCAGAAGTATGCATTTTCTAAGGAAAATTTTGCAAGTAAATTGTGGAAGGCACTAGA